GGTCAATCACAGCACACCTCGCTTTTTCAGACCGATGAGCTTTGTAAAAATCGACGTGTTTCAGAAGGCGGGGCATAGAGGAGAAACAATAATGTACAGTATGTGGAAAATAATGTGTTTTTTTAACTTTAAACCGCATGAACACATTTCATTACACCAAATACACAAAATAATGTTCTTTTTAGCAGCATCATATGACCCCTTTAAAGTCCGTGTAAAGGCAATTCAGAGAATTGTTTCTAAACACATTATAAACGTTACAAAGAATATGAACTATGTAGTACTGAATTGTGGAGTTGGACTGTTAAACAGTTTTTCACTATTTCTGTGTTCAGGATTTTTTGGGCGGGGCTGAAATCATGTCTCGATGACACACTGGAGCCACTGAGCATGGCCCCTCTCCTAATACTATAATAATTAAAGTGCTTTAGCATCATAATTTTTTTAAATTGTGCACTGTATTTATTTACTTTTTTGAGTCCACAAGAACATATTAGCATATTACTTTACAGTACACCACAAAAATGTTTTAAACCAGAATGACTATTTATATTCTTGAAAGCAGGGCTGTCCTTAGGGGGGGTGCAACTAGTGCGGTCGCACTGGGCCCCGTGGCGAATGGACCCCCCCCCGGAACATGATCGCGAATGGACCGAGGGGGACCAACCCCTCCCCCCCGGAACTCGATCGCAAATGGACCGAGGGGGGCCCCGCTCCCTACCTCGCACCGGGCCCCGCATCAGCTAAGGACGGCCCTGCTTGAAAGATCACATTCATATCCATATATTAATATTTTGTCCTCACAAATGTTTGGGAAAAAATGCATATCATGCTTCTTTCTAGAGAACAGAAATGTCTGGTTGTGAAAGACATTTACATTTATTCATTCACATGCTTTTATCCAAATCAGGAACATTACAAGCAATTTATTATCAGAGCCAGTGATACTTTTATACAATGCCAAGGGTCTGATATTATTGATTTTATAACGTGCAAATCTGCAAGATTGGGTTGACAGCCTGTCACATTACGTTTAACTCATGCCATGTGCCTTAGGTTATCTATGAACTTGATTCCATGATTCTCGTTTCTACTTTGTGATTAATTAATATTAAATGATGTATCTATTCCTCATTTAATAAACATTTGGTGTATTGACTAAAAATCCACCTTACATTTGTCTTCAGGGCCAGTGTAAAAATGTGGGAGTATTTTGATTTCAGGTGGAACAGACTGCCGCAGGTCTGCTGGCTGTCGGACTGAAGAGGGGCGATCGCTTAGGGATGTGGGGACCGAACATCTATGAGTGGATACTTATGCAGTTTGCCACAGCTAAGACAGGGATCATTTTGGTGAGTGCTTTTGACTTTTGTGGCATTTGGTTTATCTGAGTATTTATCAACAGCTGATCTCTAACCTGTTCAAGTTTGCTGTGATTTTACAGGTTTCAGTGAACCCGGCTTATCAATTGCAAGAGGTAGAATTTGCACTCAGAAAGGTAAGTTAATGCTTATACACGCAGTAAAGAACAACAAACAGCCGAATGTCCAAACCTACTGGACTGTTTGGGGTTTATTTTCACTAAAACAGTGTTTGTTTTATATGAAAGCCTGTTTAACTGTTAATTCGTAATTGTGAGATTACTCTCATTGCGGTCTCCAAAAAAACCAAAATCACTGGACTCTCACGTCTGTGGTCATGAACTCGTTTGAGAGACTGTTGTTGGCCTATCTGAAAGACATCACTGGACCTTTGCTGGATCCTCTTCAGTTTGCGTACAGAGCAAAAAGGTCTGTGGATGATGCAGTCAACATGGGACTGCATTATATTCTGCAACATCTCAATAGACCTGGGACTTAGGCAAGGATCTTGTTTGTAGACTTCAGTTCGACCTTCAATACCATCATGCCTGATCTTCTCACAGCCAAACTGACCCAGCTCTCTGTGTCCTCCCCAATCTGTCAGTGGATCCCTAGCTTCCTGACAGACAGGCAGCAGCTAGTGAGGCTTGGTAAACTCACATCCAGGACTCTTACGATCAGCATTGGTGCCCCCCAGGGGTGTGTGTTCTCTCCACTGCTCTTCTCCCTGTATACGAACGAATGCACTGCCAAAGACCCCTCTGTTAAGCTCCTGAAATTTGAGGATGACACTACCATCATCGGCCTCATACACAATGGAGATGAGTCTGCTTACAGACGGGGGTTAAAGAGCTGGCTGTCTGGTGCAGTCACAACAACCTGGAGCTCAACACGCTCAAAACAGTGGAGATGATCGTGGACTTCAGGAGAAACCCCCCTGCTCTCCCCCCAATCACCATCATGGACAGCACTGTGGCTGCAGTATAGTCATTCAGATTCCCGGGCACCACCATCTCTCAGGACTTGAAATGGGACACTCACATAGACACCTTTGCTAAAAAGGCCCAGCAGAGGCTGTACTTCCTTCGCCAACTGTGGAAATTCAACCTGCCACAGGAGCTGCTGAAACAGTTCTACTCAGCCATCACTGAGTCCGTCCTGTGTTCATCCATAACTGTCTGGTTTGGTTCAGCTACCAAATCAGACGTCAAGAGACTACAACAGACAGTCAGGACTGATGAGAAGATTATTGATTCCCTCTGCCCAACCTCCAAAATGTTTACACCTCCAGAGTGATAAAAAGGGCTTAGAAAATCACTCTGGACCCCTTACATCCAGCCTACTCTCTCTTTGAACTGTTGCCAACAGCTAGAGGATGTCTACACTGGACGTTACAAAGCACCTGTTGCAAATAATTAGTCCTTTGTGTCATCATGAATAGTACGAGGCATCAGTTTACTGTCGGGAGATTTGTCGCTCATGTCACACCACATCCAGTGTAGACACAATTACTGTTTATAATATGTTTTATTGGCTTCAGTTGCATTGCGTCACACTGCTCACATCCGGTGTAGACGCAGTGTTAGTTTGAACTAAATGTGTGCAACCTTTATGAATGATTAATGGTTTAATGCTTCTTTTAGGTGCAGTGCAATGCAGTCGTTTGTCCAACGCAATTCAAGACCCAAAGGTACTGTGACATGTTAAGGCAGCTTTGTCCGGAGATGGAGACAGCCTCTTCTGGAGGAATCAAGAGTTCAAGGTACGGGTGATGTAATAAAAAGAAATTATACATAATCAATATTGTGGTCCAGAGGGTGACTGAGTTATTTTATTTTCAGACTACCAGACCTACACACTGTGATCGTAACTGACAGTCAGCAGCCTGGAGCTTTCCATTTGAAAGATGTGATGCAAGCAGGAAGCAGCCAACACTATCAACAACTACAAGACCTGCAGAAGAAACTCAGTTGTGATGATCCCATAAACATTCAGTTTACTTCGGTACTCTGCTTATTTTTTAATTTGTGTATTTGTATATACACTACTGTGCAAAAGTCATATCTGTTAAAGCTGAAGTGTGTAATTTCCACCCTTTTTGCATCACCAGACGGAATAGCAAAAATAATGATTATTTTCAAATAGCTCACCTCAAACACTCACTCTATGGAAGCTTATTTCTACTATGGAATAAAAAGCGAATTGCGACTTTTTATCTCACAATTATGACTTTATTTCTTGCAATTTTGAGAAAAAAAATTACAAGAATTACAAGCTATGAAATATATAAAAAAGAATCACCTTTATTTTATTTATTTTTATTGCGTGGCAAAAACAAGCGGACTTTTTTTTGCTAGTGTATATCTCACAATGCAGACTTTGCAGTTACCTTTTTATTTTTTTTTTATTTCATGCCGGAAACACCTTTTCATAGACTCCATATTCCACTGGTCAGTATAAATGAGTCTCTAAACTCACACCATTGGTTGACCTAATGTTGCTGTGTTAGGGTGGTTGGGACAAGCAGAGCAATGTTTTGAGCCTCAGCATTTACAATTTAGAGAAATTAGCCAAGATTTTTTTTTTTTACATAAAAAATGACACACTATAGCTTAGGGTGACCATACGTGCCATTTTTCCCGGACGCGTCCTGGCCAGGATTTGCTTTGGCTTTGTTTTCCTGTTTTCATGCTTGCTGAAGGTAATGATCGAAAAGTAGTTTGACCAATAACATGCAAGCATTGTACATAATGGACCAATCATGGCGTGTGAGAAGGTGGGATCTACGGTCAAAACGATGCAATTACGCGTACATATTAGGTGTGTTCGACTTAAAAGCAGTGCGGCTCAGACCGATCAGTGTTTGACATCAAAGTACCTCGAGAGCGTTTCGAAAGCATAACCGTCTGTATGGTACTTTGATGTCATACATCGATCGGTCTGCACACGCAAACAAAGCCAAAACCTAGATATTTTAGGCAATATAGAAATCCTGGCCAGGACGC